ATCTCAAGTCAAATCGGCTGTCCATAATGCAACTTCGGTCACTAAAAAGAAGAATATATGCCAATGAGAAACCGCATTTCCCAAGCATTGTGTTCCATGATCTCTTGTCAATACTGCTATCTACAATGATAAGACGAATGTGTCCAGTGTGAAATATTGGATATGACTGAGGTATGAGCTTTGGGGAATATTTTCCAACGACAAAAAACCTACCAATTTGAAGAGATGACAGCTTAGAGCTGAAATCTTCCATTGAAGTCAACTGAGCCGGCGTGGTAACAAAGAAACGAATGATGAGCCACTCTGAGACAATATCTTGGATCATGGGAAGCAATTCAAGCCGTAGCTTACATATGTCTTTGTGTGACATATTAACCTGCCCAAATAGAAAGCCAAAGAAAAAAAGAAGATGAAAAAGAATGGAAGACTGCGTTTAAAGTATCAACAAAGTTGAAAGAAGTAGAGTGTATGAGATTAGTGTCAAAATAAAAACTACACTGATTCCACTAAAAGAATCGTTTAGACAATAATATGAGACAAATGGAAACTGACCTGCCCGGAGATGTTAACCAGATAGCTGACGAGTAGGAAGATGTCAAAGGCAGACTCAAACATCACCTTTGCGAACTGAGAAGTAGCTTGCACGAGGATAGAACTACAGATATCAGATAATGCTTCGCCATCATTGTTATGCATAACTTTCTTCGGGACCAGATACTGCAAATAGTGCTCCATGATGGTAAAAACCTTTTCCCAAGATCCAGCCCTTTGACATAGAGCAGAGAGAGACAATAACATTTCAACGGAGAATGTTCTAAGATTTTTATGAGCTTCTAGCTCTTTCTCCCATGCTCTATCAGCACCAAGATCCGACCAAAGACGCTGACCTATGGACATCGCATATCCCGAGTCAAGGATGTTAACTAAGCGAGGAACAATTTCATCAGATGAGATAACTGGCTTTCCAGTAACTGATTCATAATACATGGCATAAGGAGCAGCACCCCACTGCTTACTGATCTTCAAAGTACATTTCAGTACCTCCGACAGTATCTCATGTTCATAGAGAGACATCCCCAAGCCTAAGCTTGTCAGGTTGCTTTCGAAGGACGATCCTATCAACAAACAGACACCGTAATAATTCTTAAGCAACTATACGAAATACAAGGAAATTTGGTTCTAGAATCTAGATAATAGATCAAGAATCCTTTACATACCTCCAAGACTGTGCTCAACGTTCTCTAATTTACAGAACAGTGATACAGAATTGTTTCTGACTAAACCGATAACATCTGACTGAACCAGCAACGTGCACGGTTCATTATTGTTGCACCAGTGATTAAGATAGTACGAACAAAAGTTTTCCCACCAGTGAAAAACTGAAATCGAAGTCTCACCAGTAACCTGACAAAAACAGAGGCATATTTAAGCTTGTATGACCCAGAGTTATGCCACCGAGCAGTCAAATGCATTTTATCTACAAGGTATTATAGAACTGTGTAAAAACCAAACCTCTTGCTCAACTAGTAGAAGAATCTCGCTTTTAAGCTCATCAAGACTTAAGGATTGAAATTCAGAATCAGTCCAGTGTTTGTTGTGGTCCCGTAAAGTTAGACGCAAGGCAACATTGTGAAAAACCCCAGGACAAAGAAGCCTACGTAAGAAGATTGATGAAATGAATCCCATAATTTGATCCTGCAAAGTGCAATAAAGGTTAAGAAGGGCTCAAACAATAAACAATTGTTTTACAGCATAACATGCATCAAAGGAAAAGCAGATTGAGTACAATATTTTCCAACAAAATGAAAGCTATCTATTAGAATAAAGACCTTTGCGGATGAAAATAGTGAATGTGTCGTCAAAAGAAGGTCATGGGAAGAGCTCCCAGAACTCAAAAATAACTGCTCTGAAATGTATTCCTCCTGTAAAGTGTAAGACCGTGCTTCCCTGGGTCAAGTAACACAATTTAAAATAGATGATTATCCACCATCAGGAAAAAAAAAACATCAAAGCAGTGAACACAAAAATATCGACAGTAGCGAATAGCACAACCATTACTATAAAGAAACACACCTTTCCAGCTTAACCTAGATAAACAAATCTCAGAAATGAAACCTCGCCTAGAGTTCTGCATTTTATTCAAGAGGATTCCATCACCAGGAATTATAACACACAAATTCACCTACTATATATGTTGCATTAATGTTTCCATATAGTAATGGTTCCAACTGAAGAGGGCTAGAGAAAATAAGACGTGCACATATATAAAGAACCTCCTAAAACATTAGTATAATGCAATTTTTACATGGAGTACAAAGATTCCACTAAATCAACAGCAACTAAGTCTTCTCGAACTTACATGGTGCTAGATTTCTGGCACAACATGTGAGATGTCAATTCATCGGCCTTCAGCGTCCAAATCTTGTCGGATGTAAATCTGACATCCCGCAGTTCCCCCTGCAAAATTCAGGAATCAAGATGTGCAATTCAAAATAGTTGCGAGCAAGAGAAATACAAGGAAGATGCAAATTCAACATAGTTATGAGCAAAAAGTAAAACAGAATAGCATGCGTCACACTTCACAAATATGAGCCAAGAAAACTTACCCCTTCCAGTGAAATATTCTGTAGTCCAGAATCCAGAGACAAGGCTATCCCCTCCCCAGAACTAAAGTGCAGGCCATATACAGTGATCACGTCCACGCTGACACCCTTAAAAAAATGGGAAATGGTTATCACTTCAGAGACAGAAGGTAATAGAGAAAAAGAACTACATATCTCCCACTCCAGTCAGTCGTAAGGGATTTGAAATGCGTGAAGTAAAAGCTTACCATAGTATTTCTATACAAGACAGCTAATGGAATGATGCGAGAATCGTAGTCAGCTTTGCCCAACCATAACCTCAGACACATAACCCCTAGTGAAGGAAGCATGAAGAAAGTCAAAAACAGAGGTAAATGATGATCAAACAAACCTAATGGCCACAGACAGAGGTAGCAGGTATTACCCTCAACGTTTTTAGCAGCTATACTCTGACACAAAACCCTGCTACACGTAAAAATGTCCCATACATGTAATGCACCATCGGCATGAAGCACGCATATAAAGTTCCTTCCAAAAACTTGTGATATAAATAAGTCTTGCACAGCTGCAACAACTGTCCCCCTACATTGCGAAATAAACGTGGTTATATAGATGAAGGGAAAATCAATGACTTATGATATCACTCCATTAGTTTTCTAACAAGGGTGCTACAATACGTACCTTACAAATCCCCAAAGACGGCCAAGTCCTGTATCATCACGCAGTTCATGGTGGAAACCTGATAAGAGTGAAAGGCAAATGTTAAGACAAACATCGAGATTGAGATACAAAGCTATGGGAGAGATAAAGTTAATCGACCTGATGGAGACGCAAGAGGCTGGAAGCAAGAGACACAACCATCAGATCTGCCAAGGAAAAGGAAGCCAGGCGATGCAGCGACACTGGTAACATGAGTTTCGTTCAAGTAAGGTCGAACATCCAAGCGGATCAGATGGTCAAGCGGGAAGACTGAGGCAGACTTATAGGCTGACGTATTCTCGAGTTTAAGCACGTAGACAACACCAGACGGGGTGAGAGCGTAAAGAAAGAAGACGAGACGACCATCATCACTACTACCCTGCAATTCAACTCCCTAACTTGTAATTTCAAAAAAAAAAACAAGTGGAGAAGAGGGTTTGAATCTACCTCTTGGGCGAATAGAAAAGCGAAAGGAGAGAGGGCGTGAGCGAAGACGAAGCGAAGGCCAGTTAATGGAAACCCAGATTTAGCAGAGAGCTGAAGAAGCTCGAGAACGTTTGAGGTCGTTTTGTTGATTCTCAAAACGAAAGAGATGGGAGGCTCGCCAAGTACACAGCTCGAAGCGTAGTCTTCTTGAGACGAAGGAAGGAGAACACATCCATTGTCCTCCGTGGGAGAAGGTACAGATATGTCGACCCATTTAACGACATTTCCTCCGCCTGCGACTGGAACCTCCATACCGGCAGCAGGAGAAATCCGACGATTCGACTCCATCTGTTCAGCCCTAAACCCTTTCCTCACTCAGGAAATTGAAGAGAAGATGATTTCTCCCTCCGATTATTATAGACGCAGCCCATTAGTGATGAGCCTAGTAATTGTTCGGCCCATTAGGTAATGTTAAGTAAAACTGCCACCTACCACTCGACGGTGTCGTTTAACTCTCTATTCAACTCTTTCCTTTAACGAAACCGTCTTGTACAGAACAGAAGAATCAGTGAGTATTGAAAGCGGGGGTTCGTTTGCAGCGATACTATTCTGCTTCAACTTCACGATTCTTATTCTTATTCAACTTCACATTCCACAACCATTGGAGAAAGAGAAGCATTGGAAGGAAGGAAGTTGGTTGTGAATTGGTGTTTTTAATTGTCTGGAGAATTCAGGTCATCCGGGATTAGGGTTTAGGGAGACGCGCTGAATTCAAATTCAGTTGATTTTCGATGAATTCAAACCTTTGTGATGCTTGAATCGATCCATCAAGAGGTATGATTCCAATTGATATCTTGTCTTTCTTTCTAACAACTTCTTGTTATATATCTCTTTTGGGTAATTGTGCTAAATAAAATCAATTTTATGACCTCCAGGTTCCAGAAAGTTGGATCATGAGCAAAGAAGGCTCAGACATTCTTTCTGTCGCCATGGAAATTTTCGTTTTAGGGAACATCATCATCCCCTTTGTGTCTTGGCGGTTAGCTTTCATTCCTCTTTGTTACCCATCACATGAATAACCTCTTTTGTGCTCATTATCAGCAACTTTTTGATGGTCATGTGTAGTTTCTCATGCCTCATCCTAGGATGTACGTACAACCTTCTTGACGCCTGAGCATTTAGATATACCCTTAATGTTTGCTTCTTGATGATATTCAATGATACGACCTCTGCGTCTAAGACTTATATGGTTCTCCTTTCGTTACTGCTGACCTTACATCTCTTTTCTTGTAGCTTGCAACAATTATCACCTCCTTCAAATCCTCTCAGTACATACCAGAGACCATATTCTATCTGGAGGAGATGAGTTTCTACCTCTCTGCTCAATTTCAAGTTCGCAACTGTGACTCTTTTTGCGCTTTGACTACGCTCCACTTGTGATTATCTAATTCTGTCAGCTACACAAATTTTTTCTGGTTTACTATGTAAATTATATCTAATTACTAATTTGTTTGATATGAAATTGCAGGCAAATACTACACACTTGCATTCCAGTCTCAAATTTGAGCAACCCGGAGGAAGGCCAAAATTTGACAAACTTTGTCTCCGCCAAGACAATATACAGTGGAATTAACCCAAAAATCATTTCACGTATGAAACTTTGTTCGAGTAAGAAGGTAAATCTGGTTCATCATCGACAATATGCTTTGTTGATAGATGGTGAAATGATCCGCATTCTAGTTATATACATTGATTTAGGACTAGTTACTGATCTTAGTTGTTGGTTTGTCTTGTGTGCTTTATGTTTTGGAAGCGTCAGAATAAGAGAGACAAGAACATGGAAGACGTTAACGGATTGCTGACTGTGTACAAGGAAGTTGTTAAGAATAGGAGGAAACTGCCTAAACGCAGCAACGAAGAAAGAAAAGGTAAGATGGAATCTCAAAACATTTATCCTTCATAGATATCTCGAACCCTTGTTAACATAACAAAAGTTTAGCATCCATAATCACATGCAAATACCTATTTACATAAATACAGACAGCCTACACTAAGTGTTAAAGATAAATTAGACCCACTGCCCATTGCAGCTGACTCACCTCTACAAACAAACCCAGTTAGGGCCACTTTACTAGTGCCATGCTCATTAACAGATTGCTTTGGTCTCTTACTGTACGGTTCAATGCATCTGAAACAATGGAACATGGAAGGTAGCGCATCGGCATTTTCAATCCCAGCACATCTAGTATGGTGCCACACACCACACAAATCACAGGCCAACATCCTCTCACCATCATCATCCTTTGCGCCACACTTGCAATCAACTTCCCAGTTCTCTACTCCTCTCTCCATGCGGTATTGGAGGAGCTCATGTTTAGATGAGCATCTCCCTTTGACCCTTATGACTCCATTTGTGCATATTAAAAACTTCAGGGTAACGGAGTCATCCATAGAGCCGTAACCTAGGAGCTCCTCCACTTCAAACCTCTTGAACATTGCGTACACTTCCTGAAATGCTTTGGCAGCTTCTTTTTTCAGGTCAGATACAGTAGCGTTCAGTGGAAATACCAACAGCTCAGGTGGTGGGCATGGGCATTCATTGGACTCGTCAGAAAGCTCGACATGGCACCAAAGGTAGATTGCAAAGGGATTAACTGGGCTAGACGAATAATCTTTTATGAAATGCTTACAGTCAAGTATCTTTGTGGCTGCATCAATCAATTTATCACTAGTAGCTTGAGACCTAAACTCGGCCTTGGTTTGTGGTTGCAATAACGTGTCATGTAGATATCTTAAGTCGCATTTGATTTGCTCCTCCGATGCATAATTAATGTCTTGATTTGACAAGCGGTGCACATTGTTGACAGGTTCAAGCCTGAAGTTGATAACGCCAAAGGTTAAGATTATGCACGAGAGCAGACAACCAATCGCAAGCAGAAAGTGAAGAGATATTACCTATACTCAAAGTCGTTTGAGGCAGGCTTGCAACGAGAACAGACTACTCGAGATCCATCATCCGCCAAAACGCCTCCGAAATGCTTGAGACAATAATCAATCAGCTGTGGGGAGCCTGTTTTGCAAATAGACCTTTTGAGAGCCCACCTTTTAACCCAGTGAGCTCCTCCTGCAGCTTTTAATATCTTAACCATGGTTTGCTGTACACGTTCTACATCACTTCTACTCCAAGCACAAAGCACATCCGTTGTGGGTTTCGCTTGCCTCTCGCGAATCAATTGTAGCAGAAAAGAGAATAGGTCTCTTAGAGTCACAAGCTCCGAACAGGAGAGTGACTGGTAGAAGCCGAGAATGGAGTGTAGCTGAGTTCTTGGCTTCCTCCCTTGGAACATGAACTCAGAGAGAGGCATCGCAGATAAAGTAGTCACAGCACTCTGGTAGGCTTCTCTTGTGAGTGCGTAACTCCCAGAATTGAGTTCATAACCCCACTCATTGTACCACGAACAGCCTCTAGTCACTCCATGAAGCAATCGGTAGTCCATTCCATACTTCCTGGACACATCCATCACACTAGCCTTCCTAACAGCAAGGGAGGAGCAAAGCCTGTCCCAGAAGTCCATAATGGAACGGCCAGTCAAGAAACCAGAGCCACCTTCTCTACCGTTGAGAGACAAGAGATGTGCATAGCCGTTGGAGTGAATAACGCCATGAAGAAGATGAGTGTTGGCCTCCAGCTGAGAGTAAACCCAGTCCTCTGTGTCCAGAGCCAAGTTGCACCACTTGCAACTGCTGCCTTCGGACAAGTTCTGAGTATAACCACACCTCGTGCAAGCCTTTTCCATCCCAGTGTTGAGGCTCTTGCTGTCTCCTCCTGATCTTATGAGGAAGTGGTACCTCTTTTTACACACTGGATGGCTACTCCAACCTTTAAACACACACACACAAAAAAGAAGAGATTTTGCTCAGTGTACTTATTCAACCTATGGAAACACGATAAAAAAAAATAGTTTTAAACTTTTCACAAAGAGGAATCTGCGCATTACCAACGACTCGGCAGTGGTCACAGTAAACGGATCTAGAGGATCTGGTAACATCCTCCTCCACAACGTCGACGGAGATGAGTCTGGAAGAGAGATCTGAACCGTCAGTCGAATCGCCATGTCTGAGAAGGATCTGCCAAGTCCTCAAGCTGGAGAAGAGCGTGGAGGTAGGGAGAGTGACACGGGCGTGGCTCGCGAGGAAAGATATCACTCCATCGCGGAACGGCTGCAAGGTAGACGTGCCGCTTCTCATCTCTTCCGCCGGGAAGGTGGCGAAACGGTAGAGATGAGCGGAGTTTTTGTTGCTACGCCTAGATCTCTTGGCCTTCCGACCGACATCCATCACCGCCATGACTGTAAGAAGCGTTTAGTTATCACTAACGACAAAGCCAAACTCGAAAATAAGACTAAACCCAGAGAGAGAGAGATACAAAAGAGGCGAGAGAGAGAGAGAGAGAGAGAGAGAGAGAGAGAGAGAGAGAGAGGGAGTTTTTGGCGGAAAGATTTTCCCTCTCGAAATTTAGGATTAGGGTTTTTGTTTGTTGTGGAGATATTGACCAAAAGCTTGACCTCTTCTGAAGGGAGAAGAAGATAAGAAAGAGATGGGTCCTACTGATTGAGGCGGTTTTTTATTTTCCTTTTCTACACGCTTATATTTTTATTTTTACTCTTGGTTCCCTTTTNGGGAGTTTTTGGCGGAAAGATTTTCCCTCTCGAAATTTAGGATTAGGGTTTTTGTTTGTTGTGGAGATATTGACCAAAAGCTTGACCTCTTCTGAAGGGAGAAGAAGATAAGAAAGAGATGGGTCCTACTGATTGAGGCGGTTTTTTATTTTCCTTTTCTACACGCTTATATTTTTATTTTTACTCTTGGTTCCCTTTTTGTTTATAAATTAGTAAAGCAGACAATTTAAAAAAAAAAAAAAAAAAGACAATCCTATCCATTCCCGATTGATTCCTCCTAAAAGATTTCTTGGTGAATATCTTTTGAGCTAATCGAAATGTTTAACCTTTAAATTTGTCGTCATCCAAATACTTTTTTTTTGACTAAAATCGTCATCCAAATACTTACTTCTAAAAACAAAGTAACATAAAAAAAAAACACGTTATCCAAGTTTTTGTCTTCTAAGGTTTGGTTTATAAATACTAGATCTTCAGTTAGATTTTAAAATATGAGCAGTTGAAATATTTTATGTTGTGTTTTGTATACTAAGTTAATCATCTCAACTTGGGTTACCAAATCCAAAAAAAAAACATGTTCTCCAAGTTTTTGTCTTCTAAGGTTTATAAATACTAGACCTTCGGTTAGATTTTAAAATCTGAATCCTTGAAATATTTTATGTTGTGTTTTGTATACTTAAGTTAATCATCCCAACTTGGGTTAACAATAATAATAATAACTAGATATTGATCTGTGCAATCGTATGGATATTTATTTTTATTTTTATATAAATAAATATTCCCTCTGTTTTAGTTACATGTCATTATAAAGAATATTTTATGTTTCAAAATAAATGTCGTTTTATAATTTTGATGCGGAATTTAATAACTTTATATAATTTTCTATATTTTTAGTGGTTGAAATATATAGGACATTGTGTTTTTATTTCGAAAATATGTAAAATTAAATATTTTCTTAATTTGTATGCAGAAAAACTAAAACGACAACTAAAATGAAATAGAGTAAATATTTGTTTTAGAACATAAGTGTTATATATTTTTAACGTTAAATCATATACTTACATGTTTATATGACTATTTCATATACAATAATTTATAATTTACTTGTTATATTAATCAATTGTTAAAAACTTAAAAACCATATGTATTTGTCACTTTGTTATTATATATTTATCTTATTGTATTTGCATTTAGTTATTAAGCAAATTAATATATTCATGAAAAAAAAATATTTGAAAATTATTTTATATTTAAAATTCTGACATGATCTTCAAAACTGAATTTTCTTTACCAATATTTCTATGTTTATTCATTTTAAATTATATATTATTGTATATACAAAGTATAAGTTATGTTAATTTTTAGAAATGTATTATATAATTTGCTAACTTTAATTCGTTATCATCATATTATATATTAAAATAAATAGTTTATATTTATGAAAATAAATTTTATAAATTTAATCTACTTTTATCATATTTAGTTTAATATAATAATTGTCTTTTAACATGATGATTAAGATTATAAAGTAAATCAAATAGGATATAACTAAAAACAATTATTTTATATAACATAAAATACATTAACTTAGTGTAAAATATTTTTATACAGATTTATTAAAAAATTAAAATTTAATAGATAAATATATATTATGTTTAAAATGAAAAGACATCATTATTAAAGTAGTTATAAAGATTTTATATTATTCGTTTTAATTAAATACATGTTAGTTCATATACATGATTATATAATTTGCTAATGTTAATCCGTTTAATCAACATATTACATTTTATTTTTGAATTTAAATATTTTGTACTTACAAAAATAAAATATATAAATTTCTCAATTTAATACAATTTTATTATATTTAGTTTAATATCATAATTTTCTTTTAATATGATTGATTACGATTATATAACAGATAATATGATATAATTTTTTATTTTTTAGTTTATAAACTTAACTGAGTATATTAATGTATAATAATATTTCAAACTAATTTCAAAATTATTGAAATTATTTAAAGATAATATCAAAAATGAAGATTTTATATTAAAACAGATTTGTTAGAATTTAAATAAGTATAATTATATTTAGAATGAAAAGATATCAAAATATATTATGATTAAAGTATTTTAAAGATTCTATATATTATTAGTCTTAAATAAATATATTTAGTAAATGTTTTTAGTAATTAATTGTTCACTGAAAAAAAAATCACAAATAAATCAAGGTCATGATTTATATTTTAATATATAAGATAATTACCTTTCTACTTTATAGCATAAGTTTTCCTAAATCAGCAAAAATGTCCCATAATTCCAAAATTATCATTTTTGTTAATTACAGTGATCTTATTATATAAACCTTGTGTTCGTATCTAATCTTCACCCTGTTTTAGTATTCTACCGATACATATTTTTCTCCTGTGTTTGTTTTAAAAAATATTTATCTCCTTTATTGCTAAAAAATATGTAAATCCATGACTTATGTTGATCCCCCAAAAGAAACAAAATTAAAAGACCCATAAAGTCAATGCTGCCCGTAACCAATGGTTCCACACCAACAAAAAGGTCATTTTATTACGTTTTGTAGTAACGTTTCCTTATTCATCCCACAAAGCAACCAACCAACTCAGAAGAAGAAGCGAAAATTAGAGAGAGGAGTGTCTCCTTCTGCGCAAGCGCGGTGTACGCGTGTCATTCTATCAACGGACTTGCATATCCCACTACATGACCAATCGAACGACGCTGCACACACGTTCCCCGCCTGCGCTTTCCACTGACAATCCGGTGGCGTCCCGCAACACATGGACCTCTCGTCCACATGCTCGACCTCTAGCCCTAGCATCCACGCTCCTAACGACACGTCCTCGTTCGCGTACCTGTGCAGTATTCCCCTGCGTCCAGACACATATCAGTACTTGTAGAAAACATGAATAAATAATATTATTGTCACTCACTGGTTAGTAGAGATGTACGCAGCTAAGTCCTTAGAGATTGCGTAGATCTGTCCTGTTGCATGCCTGAAGTACTTGTTCCCTTCTTCTCCAAATTTCCAGAACTCTGGCTCGTGGTACTTCACTCCCCTGGTTTCATACATTTTTTCAGACATCCAAAGGTGTCGTCAAGTTTATATGTTTCGTTGTAATAAAAGATTCTTACTTTTGTGAAAGAACCGGACCGGACTTCATGCATCCAATGTAAATCCTCGGTCTTGCTTGGTATCTTGCAAGTGTTGTAACGAGCATTCCTAAGTTGACATGAACATCATCGTCTACCTTCACGTAGAACTCTGCGTCCCATATTGCTGCTGCTGTTGAGAAATAGAGTCTTGTCTTTGTAGAGAGCTGGTGATATCCTTCAATGTGTTTTAGTCTCAAAAAATCCTTATGCTCCGAATCTTCTTCATCGATTGCTTTGTCTAATACTCCTCCTGGTGTTGCACTGTGTCCTATCACAAACCTGACAACAACAAAACAAAAACAAAAAAGTGTAAGCTTTAGATAACTGTTATTATTGTGTTATATAGGTAGTGAATTTAAATATTTTCCCTGATACTTGTGGCTTACTTCACAACCTTACAACTATGCCTTTCTCTTTCTCGATTTTCTTCAGCTTTTCACCAGTTGGCATCCATGTCTGTCTCACCGAGTCTCGTCTCTTCTTGCTACTGAATGCTGTGTTGATGCCTATCACTGCAAACGCTTTCTGCAGACTCTGGTTTTTCGCGCTCTTTTCACCCCAGAACTCACTGTTTCTATGGCTGGTACGTCCTGCTGCTAACTCCAACTCCAATGTTGACATTGTTCTCTCCAATGCTCTACACTTTCATAAACACTTCTAGTGTTACCTCCTCTGTCTCAATTACGTCATAAGAAACATAAGAAGAAAGAGCAAGGCTTTATTACTTTACTGCTTGGTGGGTTTTTGACACTTCTCCTATGATGTCTCTGGATTTGCTTTCTATCAATTTCTGATCAACAAAAGAGGAAAAAAAAAACCTCGTGATTAGTGAATATATATATACATACATGATCATGTTTTTGTATATGTAAATAGTAGGGATATATAAGTAGAGGAGGTGCTATTACGCGTTTATGTTCATCGCAGTCCTTTTGAACCTCTAAACGTTTGGACAAATGCTTTGCGAGATGTTGATCCTCTTCTTCAGACACGTAAGAGCGACTCAAAGATCGACTCATGAACAGTGAGCCTGCAAGAAAGCTGGCGAGGCACAGCACTATTATGGCTTTTCCTGAAGCAGCTTTGGGCCTCATCTCTTATGCGCCTCTTTAGTCCTTAATCTGCAGAACATCACATAAGCTGACCATGAGGATGTATACTTGAATGTTCATTTACATCACATGCCTAAATGATCAAGAAATTCGTGTATACATATGTTATATTGAGGATGCTTTATATATCTACCTATAATCCTCTATACATTTCTAATATGATCAGATACATGCCATTTGCAGGAGATTTGTCAGAGTTAAGAACATGATGGACGAAAAGCTATACATCAGGGAACGCAAAGGTTGGATAAAATTCTGCACAGATTTTTAGGTGTATAAACTCCGGTTTAACAACAATAGATCAATTTAACAAACTCGGACTCTTAAGATCGATGATTGAGAATCACGAACATACCTCTATAAGCGCCTGCTGA